CACTGCTGAAAATAAGAAGTCATATAATCTCAAGTCTGAATTTAGAATTATCATTATGCACACAAGGTTCATTTGTAGCAATTATAATTTATGATATAAAACTTTCCAACAATATTCATATTTGCAAGTTTTACCAAAACGTACACTTATTAAGTTAAATAGTTCAATACCTTATCATCAGTGCTCAAAACCTCAAGATCTGTGGCCTTCCCATCACCATTGGTTCCTTTCTCCTGATTAGTATCATCCCCTTCTTCTTCAGAATCATCTTCACCAGAGGAATCAGGAAGCTCTGGCTTATCCAGTGATACTATAAAAATTACATTCTATGTTATTCACACATCCCAAGTTTTTAAAAGTACTGATACTGGAATTTCTTTAATGCATATACTTTTTAAGTTTTATAAGGTCTGGGTGACAAAATCACCTTCATAGCACTTAAGTTTTTCAGGTTAAAGTAGCATTTATATTACCTAACTTATATAAACGTTCAAGTAATAAATAATAATCATACCACCCAAGTTTCGTGATGGTAATGAAAAAAAAAACTTCTTGAATTTTAACATGTTTAACAACAGACTTTCTGTTCCTAACACAAAAGTTTGAATTTTAACACAATTAACAATAGACTCTCTGTTCCTAACACAAAAGTTTGAATTTTAACACAATTAACAATAGACTTTCTGTTCCTAACACAAAAGTTTGGGTTTTAACAATTAACAACAGACTTTCTGTTCCTAAAACAAAAGTTCATAATTATCAAATATTTACCAAATCTGGTGGTTTTGAATTTAAATTTACCAATAAACAATATAATAAAATCAGCTTTGTTTTGAATTATTAAAGTTGGCTGTACAGTCACTTAAACACAAAAAGAAATTCAAAAATTTGCACATTAATATTCAGTGCTTGTACATGTAATGAAACAATTGTCATTCACCACATGCTGCTTTTAGAGATTATACATTATGAAACAAATCATAGGACTTGCTTCAGTAGGACGAATCATGTTATAGCATATAGTAGTCTGATTTTGAACAACCAAAATGGAAATTTACAACATTTTAAAAGCTAATGAGAATAAATTCACAGATGTTTATCTTATTACAATACGTCATGTTATTTTTATGTATCTAAATAATTTAATTTTAATTCAGATAGTATCATTAGGAATAGAGAGCTTTCTAATAAGTAATAATACCTGCTTTAAAAACCTAAAACACTAAAAGCTGTTCATACAGTGAAAACTTAAAATGGCATTAATCTTTAAGACAAAAACTGATTACTAAACAAGAACAAAAGGTAGATTTAATTTGTAGCACAACAATGAAACAAGACATTTTTAAAGAACGGATTTTAGGAAATCTTACAGATAGGTTAGAATATACAATAAAGTCTAGCTGTAAAAAGCATCAAATGACAGGATTATGCAAGTTCTTTCATATTAATTTTATACAAAATACCTAAACCTTTTAAAGATATTTAATGTTTAATAAAAGCATAAATATGAGTAAAGACTTTACTTGGTGAAAGGTCAGCAGAACCAACTGTAGCTGCACTCTTGGAAAGGGTGTCATAACAAGCCAGACACACTCGGAGAGGTTTGTCTGATTGGGACGGAATTAGAAACTTTTTATTTGAGCAGGGTCCACACACAACAGCTCCACATTTACGACAGTGATGCTGTAATATTCATAACATGTGCAGTTAAGTAACACGGAAATGATATTAAACATTTGTTCTTCTTAGTATCTTTTAAAAAGATGATGTCAAAAGTACCAGTTTGATTCTAAGTGCACACGCATAGAGATTATCTGTAATTGGAAGAAAAGGCATGTTTTCTTAAATCTTAATCGACATTGCATGCTAAACAATTTCCTAATAA